TATAGGACTGAAGCTTTCCCTCTCTTTTAATGTCAAATCCTCGGTTTCTTTCGCCAACTCAACCAGCGCCTCGCTCGCTTCGCTTGCATCGCTCACCTCACTCGCATCGCTCACCTCACTCGCCTCTTCCTTAATAAGCTTCCCATTCTCAAGTATCTTCTCAAATGCATTCCTCACCGAACTCCGGATGTAATAATCGACACGATCACCGGACGAGTCGATGACAAGGACATCTCCCACGTTTTTTCCTGTCCCTTCCGTGATAGTGACATCTTCTCCAAGAATCTTGGAAGCTGATAGCGCCAAGGGAAGAAGGTTTTCCACCTGACCAATTGTCCCCTTCTGGAAGTAATCATGGTAATGAAGTAACCTCTTCTCCGCCCAACCCTGCATCGACGACAATACCGACGTCAAAAGCTTAACGTACATCGCTTCTCGATCCGGCTTCTTCGCGTCATTCGCTACTTCTGCTAACATCGCATGAGCTGCACAAAGAAGGTCTGGCTCAAGCTGTGCTGTCACAACATACTGTTGGAACAACACCCAAGTAAAACACACATTATGAATCGGCCTTGTGATTCCGAGTGTCGACCATGTTTTCTTCATTAGTTCGAGGAGTTCATCGACCTCGTCGAGTACTAACGTCTCGTCCCTCGCATCAAAAATGGCTTGAAGAAGAGCAACATAGATATGAATGTTCAAAGGGAAGCCATCAGCCCAATGGCATACATCGGTTGGTGTCCCATTGGCACTGCGCCAAGACAATGACACCACAGAATTGCAAAGCGTTCTCATTGTATCAGAGTTCTTCCCTGTGTCAATTGGCTTTGATTCACACCCACGAATGATCTCTCTAAGACGCATTGCAAATGTGTTTGATTTATCAAGTGGAATCGAAGGGTGAAGAAGAAGCCCTGCCTCTAAGATCTTGAGCTGCCGCTTCTGCCATAAATGATACTCATTTGCATCATTGAATTCCGATGGCTTTAAATGGCGTAGAAGCTCCAATGGAAGAATTATGGTCTCTGCTCGTCTTCCCATCTGTTCATATTATGAACAACCATAAATTTACACATAAAACCACAAAATTTTACAATGAAATCAGAAATTTACTTGGCCAACAAGAGTCCTCATCAGGGTCTTCCTAAGCCGATTATCACTCTGTTCTGTGACCTTCATTTGATGTCTCATAATCTCCGCCGACGTCATCGGCCGGCGAGGTCTCGGCGACGGCAGAGTATATGAAAAATTTGGGCTCGACCCATTGGAGCCATGGGAGCTAGGGGACGACGGGTTAGAGCCACTGTTCCCACCGGACGGCATTCTTCTCGATGGTGATCGTTTCAAGATTTTTAACCCAAGTGTACGTTTGATCCGACTTGTCGGCGTCATCACCACCGCATTTGGCTTCGGCCCCGACGGCCCATCTCCATTGCCACCATTTTCAGGATTAGAAGAGGAGTAAAATGCGAGAGCGTTCCGACCTCCAAAGCCCGGCGCGGAGCGGCAAGCCGTGAAGAAGATCTCGTAGGCGGTTTCACGGACGTCATCACGGTCAATTCCGTCGAGTTTGTTGAATGGCCACACTAGATCGTTCTCGAAAACGTCGACGTGGTAGTCCGGCCGGGCGACGGAGAGAAACCCGGAGAGGGACTCACGGCGGACGTTGTGGCTATACCCCATTTGGGAGGAGGAGGAGTGGAACGATCTCAACTTCTCTCTCTTTCTCTCTGTTTTTTTTTTTTTTTTCTCCTCCTCTGTTTCTTAGATTTCCGGCGGGAGAGAAGTGGAAGATAAGGCACACATTTCTCTTAAAAAAGAGCCCTTTTAGGAGAAGATAAGGCACGCATCTCTCTGATTGTTTCTTTATTATTTTCTTTTGGTAGTTATTTGACAGAGGACAGAGAAACAGAGATGTGGCTGATCCTGCCTTGTTCGTCTCACAATTATACGAGGAACAAGGAGATGGGAATTTAACGGCCATTAATTCCTTTTTTCCTCGTACGAGGAAATGGGTCTTTCTAAAAATAACTAAAGGTTTCAGATTTCGATCTATTTTCTGCAAAAGAACCACAACATTTGATGCTCTGCTCTGTTCTGTTCATCCCTGTCTTGTCTCTGTTTTCTTGTCCTCTGGTTTATTTAATATCAGTCACGTTTCATTAATACCCTTTTCATATTTATGTCTAAATTCCTTTATCTCATCAATCCATCATATAAGAGGTGACAAAATATGGGAACTACTTCTCCACCCAAGCCTTAAATGTTTTGCACTTTTTAGATCACATGTTTGAATCTTCATCCGACGTATTGTCGAACTAAAATTACATAATTGAATCTCTTTGATCAATTAGGTGGAACAATATATGCTCGACCATACATACAGTAGAAGCAATTCTAGCTGAGTTAGAAAAGTGGGAAGACCCGCACAGAAGATTCGAGAATTTCTAGTCAAATTGAAGAACTTATAAAAGAAACAAGTTCGGTATGCACCGAAGACTTGGACTCCTAGTCAAATTGAAGAACTTATAAATAAAAACAAGCTAGGTACGCACCGAAGACTTGGACTCCGCTACAACCCACATCGCTAAGTTCGAAAATAGCTGATTGACAGGGACATCAACCAATTAGGTAAGAATCTCGTATGCTATGAAAATACGAAAAGGTCAGACATGAGGTTTTAAGCTTCTAGATAGAGCAACATTGCAACTAATTATGGGATTTAGAGAAAAGATTAATTATGACATTTAAAACTATAGGGACTAAACAAAAACGTTCCCAGTCTCTCAAGATCTAGAGGTAATAGCAATAGGAAAAAAAGTTACAAAGCTCAACTAATCTGAATGTTTGTTATAATAACATCATTATTCGCATCATCGATATGATCTTACAAACTCGAAAACCAAAACAGTACAAGATATCCTCGAACACACATCACCAAACACCGCAAGGAATATCGACATATTAACCCGTCATTCTTCGAGAACTCATTGTTATAGTAAGGCAATCAGTATACAGTCAGAAACACCACCAATGACTCTCAGCTGATCAGTAAAGCAATCTCATTCTTCCCGTCATTATACACATATTTGATGTAATAATCTACATAATTATACAGCTACAAGAATCGTCCTCCTCGTCCCCCGAGTCGCTCACATCGCTGCAAAAACACGCAAAGACACCGGATTCATAATCGATCCCATCTCGTTAAGCTCTTAACGCCAAACTAAAGACTTATTTCAACTCACTTTCTAAGCACCTAAAAAGTCATTCTAAACTAGCGATTTCATGAAGAAGAAGCAAAAGAACAGATCATTTCAACTCATAAGACAGCATAAGACAGCATGACAGACAGCCCATCTTCCCCAAACAACATAAAACACACCAAAAAAAAAACCAACATAAAAGGAGACCAATCAAGCTACCTCGGTTGAAACTCCAAAATCTCCGCTAGATTATTACCATTACTATCAGTCCACCGGACTTTCATCCTCGGCTTATTCGATTTCCTTGACATTCCGCCGCGCCGGGGCGGCAATAAAGCATTCGATTCACTGTAATCTTCGCCGTTACCGGAATCCCCAACTTCTCCGGCAGCCACAGAATCCACAGCCTTCTGAACATCCTTAGAATCGCCACCCATAGTTCACCAAAGATCAAAAAATCAAACCCAGATTTGAGATTTCTGAACCGAAACATGGCAAAAATCACAAATCCAGAACCGTGTTAGGGCTCATGGGTTCAAAATTTATGAACCCAACAACCCCATCAAAAACCCCTCTTCCAAAACTAAAACCCTCGATCTAAAATTTGAACCAAACAAAGAAAATAAGGCTTAGAATCGATAGATTCCCGGGAAAGTGACAGAAAATAAAATCGCCTCCAAACCCCAAAAAGAAAATGGGCGATGGAGCGGTGCGCTGTCGAGATCGAAGAAGAAAAGGAATTAAAAGAACGATAGAAGAAGGCGTTTACTTTGCTGTGATTGGTCATTGGTGATGTCGAATAATACTGTGGAATTGGACGGTTGAGATTGGATATCTAAGAAAATGGATGAGTTTTAGGTGGGTCCCGGTGGCGGGTGTTCGTTAAATTCGTTGCTCATAAATTGTCGGTTATCAGAACTTGTCACTTTTCTATTCCATTTATGTTTTTTTTTCAAACATTAATTGATGTCGTCAATGTGGGTTGTTTTCTTAGATCATGATATTTGATTTAGTACTTTTGAATTGGTTTTTTTTTTTTAAATAAAAAATACCCGTAATGTCATAATATTATTATATGAACTTGTTGTTTACCAAAAAGTTTATAATATAATTATAATTTAATGTTAATTTATTAGTCAAACTTGCTTTTATCATAAAAGTATTTTTAAAGTATGAATTTCGATTTATAAATAATATGTATTGTTTGATAAAACTCTTGTAAATAGGTAAAAATTAATGGTAATATTGAAAATTATAAATTAAACTTTAATTTTTCTAAAAATGATTATTGAAACTTTCCATTTTTTATGAATGTTTTTAATAAAATTTATTCTCTCTAAAATTTTCCTCTCCAAACAAATTTTAAATTAAATTATCATTTTATTCCTAATTTTAATCCACAAATTTTATAATTAATCCTTCAAAATTATTATTATTGTTATTAAAATTGATTAAATAATAATAATTTTCCAAAATTTAATGAAAATTAATAAATGTTAAAAATATCTTAAGAAATTGAACAATAATTTAACATAAGAAAATTTGGATGTTACAATAAATAAATACTTTTAAAAATTCAAATGTATTTTTGAAGGAGAATTGGAAAAATATTTTTAAATACTTTAAAAAACAAAAATAAAACCATTTAGAAAATTCTAAACTAAACCAAAAAATGAGGAAAAAAAATGAATAATTGAAGTGTGGATTCTGTAATTTTGCAAATTAAGAAGGACCATATAGCAAAATTGTAAATTAAAATTCAAGCCACAAGTTTGTGTGGCTCAAAACAAGGCCCCTCAACTCTCTCACAATTACACGAAAATATCCACTTTCGCAGAGCATCCAAAACCCTCCATTACAACTTCCACCATGCTCTCTGAACTCTGATCCTTCCGCCATTTCCATGGCAGCTTCAATTTCTGCATCTCAGCTTCACAAACCTCTTCCCTCCTCCTTCCATGGAGGCTGGGGGTCCTCCATTTGCGGCGAAACCACTGGGATGCTCGCCAAATCGGTCCCGGAAGTGGTCCGAGTTGGAAAGCCGGTGAGATTCCGGCCAATGATGAAGAATGTTAACGAAGGGAAAGGTGTATTTGCGCCTGCCGTTGTTCTTGCTCGAAATATTATCGGAAAGAAACGTTTCAATCAGTTGAGAGGCAAGGCCATTGCGCTGCACTCACAGGTAAATTAGTCACTTGAACGAACTGTCCTTATGAGTTTAGTGAGAAAGGCGTGTTGAGATTTTGGGTTTTGGACAGATTATTACGGAGTTCTGCAAATCTATTGGAGCTGATGCTAAGCAAAGACAGGGATTGATTAGGTTAGCCAAGAAGAATGGTGAAAGGTTAGGGTTCCTTGCTTGATTTTATCACACTCTGTTTCTGTAATCATAGATCTGTTTGAGCTTCCATTTGTATATCTATCAAACACAATCTGAAGCATTATGTTTGCATATTCTTGTATATAAAACTCTTATTCATCGCTTTTAACAAGAATCAAAGGATGATGAATGAAGGCCTAGAATGTTGATCAATATGATGACTCTATCAGGGTTTTTTCTTTTAGAACTATTGCCATATACATTAGCTTAGAAACCTGTATGGAGTTTATAGACCATGGCTCGCTGACAACGAGGTTTAAAATCGTGACGTGACGACTGTTGTACCCACAAATCAACACATGTCCTTTCACATGTTTTGTTCTCACTCATATATTTCATAAAAAAATGATTATAATTGGAAAAAGAATGTGCACCTTATTGGGGTAGACATTTCAATTCTTTTCCAGTTTTTCTCAAGGATCCTATGCTAAGGACCACCTAGATGTGGTCTCCTTTTATTCGTGTTACCTTTACTCGGGCATTACAATACCAATAAAGTGCATTTTTCTTCCCAAGCTAAAAAAATGTTTGCTTTTGAGTAAATTCTATATTGGGCGGGATCTCTTAGAAAAACTACAAACCTCCAGTGGTATGATATTGTCCACTCTTATGGAGTCATTGAGTAAATTCTATATTGGGCGGGCTCTCTTAGAAAACCACAAACCTCTAGTGGTATGATATTAAACAAAGTATGCCATATAACCTTTCTTGAGGTTTATGGAGCCCTTGAACAATCTCCCCTTAATCAACCCTTTATTCGACACTTGGTCACTTTTTAATATGCCATCAAGACTCACAATATCTTTGTTTACATTCGAGGAATTTGAGGATTCTATTGGACATAGTTTTACTCTTAGTTTCTCCAAAAAGCCTCATATTTCTTATAAATCTATAATCAACCACTTAATTAGCCATATGATATTCCTCTCTCCATCTTCAATAGGCTAATATAAAAAAAAAAAATTATCTGAGCAAGAACAAAATGCTAAAAGAACATGTTCACTACTAGAAACCCTTCACTACTAGAAACCGTTATCGAGAAAAGAACATAAAAGAGAAAATTTTATAGTTCTACGTGGTAAACTGCAATCTTCATATCTTTAAACTGTCTTGAAGCAAACAATATCAAACAAATTACACCTTATTCATCAATAATCATCACATTACATCTCTCTATGATCATCTTTGTCTCTCCAGATCAAAATACAATCCTCTAGACGACGATCGTTCATGGAGAGTCAAGAAGAACAAAAGAAAATAGTTTGAAATCCAAAACCAAGTCAGAAATTCAAATGCTCAAGCTACATAATACATTGGATTTGGAAGCTTGAACGTTCTTCTTCCACTTGGAGTTCCCTCAAGGCTGCTGTATTGATCTCCCAATATCCCCCAAATGCAATACCCTCCTTTCACCAATCTCCTTCTCACATCTGACTTATATTTCTCCACGTCCTTCTCTTCATCGCTCCTGCAACAAAACAAGCAAACTCATCACTCACCAAGCACAGACAGAAGATTTGTGATTTGAGGGCTGTGACACTGACCTAAAGAACAGATCGGACCATCCATGATACCCCTTTTGAACGAGGTTTTCAATGGTGGCTGATCTCAGAGCTTCCCTTCTAGCAGAAATCAAAATGATGTCCACTCCTTTTGC